CAAAATCATGTCGACAATGACTAAAATTCCCCAAAATATACTATAGGAGAATGGACTAGTTGTAATTATTTCTACTCAGGTTATATACCATCAAAGTTGTGGTTGTTGCTTATTTGCTTTTATTCTATAACATTACTTTCTTACAAATTATTTTATGATGCATTTCCTCGCTCACGTTTTCTAACACTTTCTCTCAAACATGGTTGAGGCTTGATCATACGTCAAAATTATTTATCAGTTACAATTTCCATACGGTTGACTTGTTTACTGGGTTAAAACAAAGTACCGTACAATCACTGTCCTGCTACCATAAGAGTGCGATTGTGACAGCCTGCACATGCTTTTCTTAGCAGGATGTCATATTCAGATCTCATATTTTTCCTTACCTAGATGAGATGTCCTGCACTATGTTGGGGGACACCTTAGTAATGTTTTTTTTTCTTTTTTTTGCATGATGTCACGTCATGCTTTGCACCAACCATGTGACCTTCTCGATCTTTCAAGAGAGTAACATAAGGCAATGTTAGAGATAACTATCAGGCTGACTAGATGTCATTGGCTCATGATAGAAGAAACCAAATCAAGTCCCTTGGTTAACATAAAAGAGTAGATTACCTTAGGCATGAACCAAGAACCCTTAAACCTCCCATAGTACAAAATGTTCATGACTCATATTACATCGCTTGGAACGTAAAAAACCTTAGCTGTAGGTTTTTACACTACACCGCTTAGAACATAAGAAGCTTTGAGTTAGGTTTCAAATTGTATCACAGGGAACACATGAAGTTCTAGATACAAGTTTAGACTATATTGCTTGAATCATATTAAACCTTAAACTTAGGTCTTTAGGTTCATGTCTTGTACCATGAATCCTAAAGGAAGTGTTATAGAGAACATAATAAGAAACAAGAATAATAACCAAGTCCAAGAACAACCCATCGAACCAAAGATCAAGGTGCTTGGCTAGATCATAACAAGAACTCAGAACTCAACAACATAATGTAAGGGTGTAAGTTCTCACGTTAATAACAAAAACATGACAAGAAAGAGTGTGGTAACCTAACACACACCATAGATACGATTAAGTCTTATTAAGTCTTATTAAGTCTTTATACTCATTCAGGTTCTCTCATGTTTTTCTAGGTGACAAGAATGAGCTGGTCAAGGATGGAAGTAGATTTAGAGCCAGTGTGATGCAGAGCCACACCGTATTTTTTTTATTGTTTTAATAATCGAAGTTATTTTGTTTACCAGGCCCAATGTACTCAAAATCTATTTCGGAATGGTAAATAAAACATATTTGTGGTTTTAAATGCAAAGAAATTTATTGTCCATTTTTACCCGTGTTTTCATGTTTTCAAGTTTTTGATAAGTCATAGCTTGTGAAAATTAGGTCATGACAAAGACATTAAGGAAACGGGTAGCATGATTATTATAACCTTTAAGTATACTAGAATGAAAATGGGAGGATATAACAATGGACTTTATTATAGGTCTACCTAGGTTTTTAAAAGAATATACGGTCATATGGGTAATCATAGATAGATTTATGAAGTCAGCTCACTTCATACCTAAGATGGCTACCTATATAGTGGACAATTGGGAACAGATGTATGAGGCAGATCGTGAGACTATAGGAATGCTTATGTTAATCATGTCAGATCGATACCTATATTTTACGTTAGCCTTTTGACGCAGCCCATAGGAAGTATTGGGTACTTAACTCGACTTCAATATTAATTTCACCCATAAATAGATAGATAAATTGAGCATTTGAACCAAACCTTGGAAGATATGTTGTGTGTTGGAGTTTGGAGGTAATTAAGATTATGAGTTGCACCGCATAGAACTTACCTACAACAATAATATTTAAGCAACCATTGATATGGTATCATTTGAGACCTTGCATGGAAAATGATGCAAGTCCTCGATATAATGGGATGAGGTAGGCGAGCGTGAATAGCCAAAACCAGAATTGATCCAAGCGACCAATGAGGTTGTGCAAAAAGTTAGGGGAGGATGCATATAACCTAAAGTAGACAAAAGAGTTACCCTCACGTACTATGTATAAACCTAGAGTTTAAGGTAGGCGACAAGGAATTTTTAAAGGTGACCCTAGTAAAAGACATCCTAAGATTAACACGGAAGCGTTTGAGCCCATATTTCATCCGGCTTTTCAAGATTCTAGATCGTGTGTGACTGATGACATATTTATCAGCCTTGCTACCATCCCTCTCTGCAATGAATAACTTGTCCCACATTTTGTTGCTTCGCAAGTATTTGACTGATCCAACACGCAAGGTAGATTACAAACCCTTAAAAATAGATGAGGGTCTAAACTAGGAGGAAAGACTAGTAAGGATCAAGTGAAGGTCATGTGTACTCGAGAGATAGCAATTGTAAAGGTACCGTGGTAAAACAACAAAATGGAATAAGTTACATGGGAATGAAAGAACGAGATGATTGAAAAATACACCGAAATATTTCAAGTATAAGTGTAACGACTCGATTTTTTAGCCATAAAATAGAGTTCAAGTTTAAATACATTAAGGAACCTAGTACAAAATGAGACCGAAAAAAAGAAAGAAAGAGAACCAAATGGTTAAGGCTCTTGACCTTAGGTGAGCTCTATGACACTTACTCAAGATCCACTCTTATCCCGATCTTGCATCTTATCACTTGAAAAACATGTAAAAACTAGAGTGAGTATAAAACTCAATAAGTTATAGGCTCTTTATTTTGTCCATGGTTGATGCTAGGGTACCATGCTCTCGACCTGACCTTAAGAGATAAGTATGAAATCTTTTATTAGAACCTTCATCTTGAGATTCAAAGTTATGGGTTCAAAGTTCTTAAAATTAGGTTCATCTTGAGATTCAAAGTTATGGGTTCAAAGTTCTTAAAATTAGGTTAGTCTGATGTCTAGCCCAAGCTTATGCACATGTGTGATCCCTAGTTCTTAGACAAGTTTAAAATGAGTGGATTCCATCAGGCTATCCGTATTTACTCTACACACCATGCATAACAATAGTCCTTATCTTAAAATACTTTCACCATAAGACCTACTAGGTCACATGGTCCGTAAACAATAAGAACATGAGGGAGAACCTATGTATGAGATTTGGATTAGGATTCTAAATCTAGATTTGGACCATGGTTGCCTCGACATTTCCTTATATCCTCTATGTCATAGTTTGAGTTCTAACATCCTACAAAGTAGGGCATCCTAGGGATCCCACCGAAGTGAAAAAACATGAGATCATAATGTACCACGTAATGGGAGGTCTAGGGTAATTCAGTGCATAAGGCGAGTCTGAATAGAGTGGTATTAGCAGTCTAGGTGTCATATTAGGTTAGGATTTTAGTTGTGCATTCCTAGAAACCCGCCTACTTGGCTTGGATTTTAACCCTAGAGAATAAGTCGTAGGTTAATAAGCACATGGTTTTAACTCGAAAGGGTCCATCATTAAAAGCTTAAGGCACAACCTAAGCTTCTGACATGCTATAAGGTTCATTAAGCCCTATTCCAAATATACATGTCACAAGTAATTATACAATCATGTTTATTAGGAGTTGATGTCTTGTGAAGGTACTGAGTAAGATGGTGTGAAGTTCTATTTCATTAATTTTCGGTACCATGAGTGTGCATTAGCTCATAGTCAAGCTGAGAGGTATCATAACAAGTTCATCTAGTGGGTCCACGTGCATATGCATGGACACTGTGTAGAGAAGTATTAGGTAACCAACTATGCCCAAAAAAGAATAGATCCCAAGGAACCATCATGAAAAAAGTCAGGTCCTTCCTGTCATGATACATATGTGAATGTATTTTTCCAACCACAATTGTCAATATAATTTAGTAATATTTTTTATCTTTGAATTTTTGTTAGAACATGTTTAACATTTATTTCAATTGTGATTTTCCTTTGTTTGCAAGTTTAGAATATTACGTTCGTGTAGAACATAATATTTTTTAAACAAATTTCTTCATAAAACCGTTCCGATATGATGAAATAGCATTTTTATTTTTAAAGAAAAAAAAAATAGAGTCACATTACAAATTATTATCAAATAGATTTCAACTTAATAAATAATATGTAATAATACTTTGACATGTAATTTGGAGACGAAACAAATTTATTTTAAATAACATAATTTTATTATGAAATTATTTATTATAGTGAATATTTTTGCCAAATTCTAAAAATAAAAATAAAATTTTTAGTTTTAGATTTTTAATTTTTAAATTTAAAATACTCCTAAAAATAAATAATAAAAACAAAAATAATTATCCAACTCAATTTTTTTAAAAGAAAAATTAATCTCATAATACTTCTCTAAAAACAAAAAAAAATAGTTTTGAAAATTAACTTTTAGTCCTTGATTTTAGCGAAGAATATATATATAGAACATAATTTTCAAAAATAAAAAATAAAAAATCAAAGTTATCAAACGGAACTTTCTTGTTATATTTTATAGTTGGCCGACATGATGACGATATAAACAAAGACGATAAATCTTTTATGAAATTAAAAATTAAAAAAAAATGATATTTTTATTTCACGTCTCTCTCATTAACAGGAAGTTAATGATTTAAATTCAGTTGACTAAATTTGTTTGGACTAATATTTTATTTTATTTTTTAATTTAAAACCTTTTTTTTAAGTAGAAAAATATTAATAAGAGTATTTTTTAAAATAAAATAGTAATAAATTTTCATCCAAAATTAAAGGTAGACTATTTTCTTTAAAATATTTTTATTAATTTAAGTAATGGTAAAACACGGAAAAGTAATATTTTTAATATTAAATATGATTGAGTAAAAAGACTAAAATACCCTTAAATCACTGTAATTATGGGGTTATTGGCGAGGGGCGAATTGAAAGCGAGTAACAAAAAACAGTTGAATAATTGAAGTAACACTAATTATGCGTATTGCTTACCCATTACGTTTTGGTTTTCCTTCTCTTTCTCGTCCATTCCGTGTTCGGTGGTGACCAAAAATTCTAGAGAATGAATGGGAACGCTTCCATTTGTTTCCATTCCGATAAATACTCCTCACCGTTTCTTACGATCTTCCATTCTCAATCACCGCTTCACCCTCCCATCTTCCAATTCCATCCACACTCTAACATAAGGTAACCACGCAACACCCACTCTTGTTTTCAGATTCTTTCTCCTTTTGTTCCTCTTCGATTTGCTTATTTATGTGCTTCATTTCAATCCGTTCAATGTTCTGTGCTCTTTGTTGGATGAATGAATCGCTATTTCGAATCCGGTTCTTGAATCCGCGAGGGAAGTGTTTTCGATTTTTGCCTTTTCTTTCGTCATTGGAATCCGGTTGTTAATTTTTGGTTTACGGAATTAATGCGGCTTTAGGATCCTGATTATTTGCGTTTTTCTTCTTAATCCCTTACTTAGGGAGGAACCTCTCCTCTTTATTTGGTTCTGTTGTAGTTTGTATCGAATTTTCATTTCTCCTTCTGTTGAATCTAGATCGCATTCCTATTTTGAGGCATGGAATCTTAGAAAATATATTTGAAGAAAATGAAGGCTCGTGTAAGGACTCTTTTCCATTCGAATTTAAAATGTACATCTCGAAAACAAGTTTGAAACTGGTAAAAGTGGAAGTGATAAAAAAAAAAAATATGGTTTATCCTTGTGCAGTATTGCCGATAGTTTACTTTATGATTCTTTTGGAAAAAGAAAAGGCACGGTTAGACAATTTTTTATTACACATAATGCTGAATACAGCAATAAATCAGTTCCACTTTTCTTCGTTAACATGCTAGTTTAATTATTACAGATCAAGAACTTTTCAAGTTACTTCAATTTCTTTTCTCTTTTTATTTATTTTGCTCTCGAGGAATATTTTCAGTTGGTGATTCTCTGCTTTCTAATTGTTCAGGTGCGTTTAGTATTGAAAATCAAGTGCAGTTGGGAAGAAGATTTCATAACTGAAGTTTTAGCGAAATTCATCAAGATGGCTGATGAATCTGTAGCTATCCCAATTATGGGAAAGGAAGAGAAGACAAAGGTTGAAGTTGAGTCTGAGGTTGTTAAGGTGGATGATGAGGTGGAGAAAGAAAAGCATGAGGTTAAGATCAAGAGCAAGGAGGCAAAATATGAAGATGGAAAGAAAGAGAAGACAGAGGTGGAGGTTCAACTCAAGAGCTCATCAGGGAGGAAAGAGAAGATGAAAGATGTTGAGAATGAAAAGGAGAAGAAGAAAGAAGAGAAGCAGAAGAAGAAGGATGAAGGCAAAGATGAAAAAGAAGCAAAAAAGAAGCACAAAGATGAGGATGGAGCAGAGAAGGAAACAGAAGTGAAGAAGAAGAAGAAGGAAAAGGAAAAGGAAGAGGAGAAGAAAGAGAAAAAAGATGAAAAGAAACATAAGAAGAAGAAGGAAGTTGAGGATGATGAAGAGTGTGAAAAAGAAGAGAAGAAACAGGAAAAGGGTAAGAAGGATAAAGAGAAGGAGAAGGGTAAAGGTGGTGATGCAGTGGAAGATAAGAAGGTGAAGAAAGGAATTGGGAATGAAGAAGAAGAAGACGATGATGATGATGGTAAAGAAGAGAAGAAGAAGAAAAAGAACGAAGAGAAGGAAAAGAAGAAGAAGGAGAAAGGAGGAGAAGAAGAAGATGATAGTAAAGAAGAGAAGAAGAAGAAGAAGAAGAAAGGAGACGAAGGAGTAGAAGAAGATGATAGTAAAGAAGAGAAGAAGAAGAAGAAGAAGAAAGGAGAGAAGGAAAAAGAGAAAAAGGAGGAAGAAGTAGAAGAAGATGATAGCAAAGAAGAGAAGAAGAAGAAGAAGAAGAAAGGAGGAGAGAAGGAACAGGAGAAAAAGGAGAAAGGAGAAGATGATATTAAAGAAGAAAAGAATAAAAAGAAGAAGAAGGGGGAGGATGAAGATGATGATGGCGAAGAAGAAAAGAAAGAGAAGAAAGAAAAGAAGGATGAGAAGAAAAAGGAAAAAGGTGGGAAAGAGAAAGAGAAAAGAGAGAAGAACAAAGTAGAAGATGAAGAAACGGAGGAGAAGGATGAAGTAGACGAAGATGAAACGAAGGGAAAGAAGGAGAAGAAGAAGAAAGAGAAGGAAGATGAAACGAAGAGCAGAAGTAGGGAAATAGAGATAGAAATAGAAATAGAAGTAGAAGAAGAAGCAGGTGAGAAGGGAGGTTGTAGAGGAGGAGGAGGAGAAGAGGAGAAGGATAACGAGAAGAAAAACAAGAAAGATAAAGAAGAAAAGAAGAAGAAAGTAGAAGAGAAAAACAGAAGTAGAGATGTGGGGAAATTGAAACAGAAACTAGAGAAGATGGATGTTAAAATCAATGCCTTGCTCGACAAGAAGGCAGACATTCTGAGGCAAATAAAAGAAATTGAAGACGCAAATTCCAACATTGTTGCTGCTGCTGCAAAACCTACGGAAGAAGTGGCATAACTTTGGTGGGAGTTGTTGATTGTTGGGGGATGTATTGTTGTTGTTCCAAGGTTTATACAGTATCTTATCTTCTCTGTTGTTTCAACGAGTGTTGTATTGTATTGTATTGTAGTGTATTGTAACATACACATGTTTAATGGACAGTGATTATTGTTTCTTTTATGTTCTGTGGTGCTAACAAAATTCAGGTGATGTTTCAATGGGGGGGAGAAGCAGCAGCAGCAGCTGGGATGGTAAATTTTATGTTAGTTAGTTAGTGTAGTTGATGCTTGATTATGCTCCCCTCAAGGCCTTTCATGCTTGGGAATTAGTTTTCATGGCATAGTGCCTCCAATCCATTACAGTCCCTTGGATTGGATAGGAGTGAGTGAGAAGAAGTTACAAGTGAGTGAAAACAACACAACTTCACAACTTGTTCGGAAGCACACTTGAAGCAGATGATGTTTTTTTTAAGCCTTTTGGATATCGCTGTGTACTTAAAAAGTAAATGCAATACTTTGTTGCTACGAGAAGTACAAAAGCAAGACCCAAATGGAAGTGCTTTACCTTCAAAAAGTAAATCAATTTTCAAACCTTAAATTAGTTTGTGTTTTAAATATTATCATAATTAATAATTATTTTTAAATTTAAAATATTATTACTAAAATAGTACAAAGGTATGGAATGACCTTAAATTTTATACTTACCAAAATGCCTATCATTTAATGTAGAAATACTTTATTTGAAACTTTATAATAAAATAACCTTAGTCTTGCATGTCAGGCTTATCAACCAACTAATACAAATTGAAAACATATACTAACCTATAGTCTACTAAACTTAAATTACAAAACTATCTTAAGTTTGTGTCACAGTTTTGTAGTTGTGATGTCACTATTGTTGGCTTTTTGGCCCTTGATTTTACTTTTAATTATTAACTATTTTCAATATTTTGAACTGTCCACGGTTATAAGGTCGGGAATAACGATTACAACGACTTTTCAATTACTCAAATCAGAATTAAAACGAAGAAATTAGAGTCGAGACAACATACCGTGATGATGTGGCAGCAAAATCAAAATGATGGACAAATCAAAATATATCAAAAGTATGACATTTATAATGTTAGAAGAGTAACAAAGGGTGGAGTTTTTCTTATTATTATATTTCTAAATAAAATTATTTTTACAAAATATAAATTTTAATCTAACCGTTACTCACATCGATTTTTATTATTACTATATTATATTATTAATTATTATATTTTAAAATTTTGGTAGTTACTCACATAGTTTTTATTATTATATTTATAATAAATTTTGAATTTTCATTAGACCGTTATAGCTTTTTATTATTATTATATTATATTATTATTATATTAAAATTTTAAATAAATGAATTTGGAAATTTTTTTTATTTATTTACTCTTAATCTCCCCCTTCCATTGTTCCTAACACAATCCAATGGTCAATATTAATTCCTACATTTTACCATTTTTCTCCTCTGTATAAACTCATCTTCCCTCACATTTTAACACACAACTTACATACACATTTTAACACACACAACTTATATACATTCTCCAATCCTCATTTGTTCAAAGTCTCCATTGTTTGTTGCTCTCTCCAAGCTTACAAGTTTATTTCTCTTCATCTTATTCTTGAGAGGGATTATTATTGTATTGTGAGAAAATAGTTGTGAGTGTCTCAAATTGTAAATCTACTCTTTGAGAGAGTTGTGGTGTGTTATTATCAAACTCAAATACTTGTATCGGTTTGATCCTGCGTCGTGGAAATGATTGAGTTTGCTCTTGAACTCGTAAAAAGAGCGGTGTAGCGGTTTGGCTCTGATCTGTGGAAAGAGCCGAGAAAGTTCTTTATTCAAATTCCCAAGAGGCGCTTGAGAAGTGAAGTAGATCGAGTTTGACCGAACCACTATAAAACTACGGTGTCATTTTCTCTAGCTCTTTCCTATTTAATTTCAAAATTATTATTGTGATTTATTGCATGTTCTCCTTGATTATTGTTTTGACTTGAATTATTTTGTTATAGTAATTATCATATTCTACTTATTTGTAAAAAGCTTCATCATTAGAAAAATTAATCACGTTTAAACACTTTTATCATTAAAACCTTACTTTAGGGTTGTCATACCGATCCAACAACTGTCAACTGTGGAGGGGTGCTTTGCCTTTAGATAAAAAATAGAGTAGCATATGACTTAAGTATTTTAAGAAATACTCAGTAAGCTTCTGTCGGGGTTAAATGCAAACATATACAATTTCATGAATGAGACCTATTAGAACAGTCTATTTTCTTACCGCGGCTATCTTAACGAGCAACTTGAATATGTACTTAATTTTTCTACACACGGTCGATACGTGCAAATATGGACCCACCAGTCAGTTTGCACACCTCCTCGGCCCCTTTCTGGTCGAGCAAACATTCTCTAGAAGCTGTTGATGTCGGACACTCATTAGGAATAGCGACTGTCATGGCAACACGATAAACATAATGATCATTTCCTTGCTTCGTAGCGTACGCATCCGTACTATCATGAAGGAGTAGGGGTATCCCTAGATGCATGAGCACACAATAATGCATGAGGTGCCAACATTTTCTATTTTTATTATCATTTAATACAACCCCATTAGCATCTTCTTAATATCATATCATTTGTCATAACGTTTATCATATCATTTATCATAACTTTCATGCATATGTTGGGGTTGTATTTCATGCTAGTTCATCATTTTGCATGTCAATCACATTATATCATTCATGTCGCACAGATATCATATTATAACGTTTTCATGCTTTCAAACATAACAATCCACATCATGCACATACCATATCATAACAGTCATGTAACATATCTCAAGCATATCTTCAACATATCATATCTTAATATATCATATCATAAACATATCAATTCTTCAAATACAACATAACAGTCACATCTCATAACATATACATATCATTTTATAATAGTTTGCAAATATGGGAATATGACACTTGCGAAACCATGAGCATGCGTCATCATATAACACATAATTATAACCAAACGACGATAGGGTCACTTACTTGGTTGGCCTTAGCTAGCATTTTTTCTAATTCGAGTACGTTAGCTCCCGTTCCTCGAAATTACTCCAAATATGGCTAGTTGTCGTTTCCTATTGGAATATTCATCCTGTTTCGTTAGTAAGTTAATAATTATTAACTTAATCAAATTTAAATTGAGAATTTTTTAGACTAAGAATTAAAAGTTCACCGATCTATTAAATACTTCTTTTTAATTCATCTATCGGTTATAATTATAAGACTTGTCAATTATAAATTTAATCTTTAAATTTTTAAATGTGTATTTATTTAGTGCTTAAAATTCAAAAAAAAAAAATTAATTATTAATTTTATATCTAATGAAACTCTAAACTTCAATTTTTTTTTATTAACGTTGAAAATTTTTAAAAAATATTAAATATTATAAGCAAGTTTAAAATTCATTAAGAATATTATTTACGCTTTAAAAAATTTATGAATTAAATAAATACAAACTTAAAAATGTATAGTCTAAACTTATAATTTAATCCGGAGCATACGAACAAACACATTTTAAACTATGATTTAAAATGAGATGGAGTTTGTTCCTGAAAAGAGGTTTATTGTATAGAGTTGTTCTAAGTTTGCACTAATTAAAGTCACACAATTACCCCTTTACTCTTAATTCACATCCAACTATTTCCTCCCAATAATCATACTCTAAATACAAACTTTCTTTTTAAACCATATTCCCATTCTCCACGCTTATTTGTTTCAAATCGTAATCATTAACGTCTATTTTTGGACCGTCTATTTTTGGATATTCCATCACTTTTTTTTAGTTGACTTGTGGAATTTTGACGTTTTGATTGAAAAGACACTTGAGAGGTTTTGTTCAAATCGCACAATTCACTAATATTTCTAAACGAGGAACAAAAGAGAGAAGATTTTAAAAAAATATATATTATACTTAATAACACCATAATAGAAAATGATGAACGAATGAAAAAACGGGTTAAGGGGTCATTCTCCTTCTTGATTTTCTTGCTTGTTCAGTCTCCTTAAGGGTTCAGGGAGAGGAAATGAACAAGAACTTCTGAAAGAGTATTTCTCTTTGTTTACTGTTCCAGCTCCTTCACTCACATATGAAACGCTTCTTGCTTTCACTACTGAATAAGGGAACTAGGCAAGCTGGATGAGAATCATTACGACCTTCTACAGCAGTTTAACTGTCACTGTTGTTCTTTCGAGTCTACTAGAGTCTTATTAATCGGGACATTGAAAGTAGTCTTTTTAGTTATTAAAGAGTAGGCCATGTTTGTCCGTCAATACGACTTGCTTTAAGGCCTTTGGCATCGACATCTTTAATTAAAGTTAACCCATAATTATTTTTAAAAGAGAAATTTAATGGAAGGAAATCCACAAATAAAATATTAAAAAAAAAGAATATTTTTGTCGTTGAAAATGAAGGGGAATCCTGAAAGGTTGAAAATAATGAAGTGGGGTTTGTGTTTGAGCGTCTCATAAACGGCCTAGTTGTTCACCACGATGCCCTTCCCTTTCTTTTATTAATTTAAAAATGACCTTTTATTTTATTCTTTTTTTAATATACATAATTCAGCGACCACCTCTCATAGCTTCCATCCAATTAATAATAAAAAAAAGTAAATAATAATGAAAAATCGAATCTTTGTAAATGTTGAATTTTCAACGCACGTGCCTATCCTTGGCTGGAACCGCGACTACAATTATTTACGTGGAACTAAATAAGACCAATCTTGAAGATACAATAATTAAGAAATAATTAAAAATTACTTTTTATACCAACGAGGCGTATCTTCAGTGTGATGTCCCACGTCGGTTGGAGAGGAGACTGAAACGATTTTTATAAGGGTGTGAAAACCTCTCCCTAGTAGACGTGTTTTAAAGCCTAGAGAGAACAATATCTGCTCGTGGTGGACTTGGGACATTACAAATAGTATCAGAGCCAAACATTGGACTGTGTGTTAGCGAGGAGGCTGTTCCTTGGAGAGGGTAGACACAAGGTGGTGTGCCAGTAAAGATGTTGGGCCCTGAATAGGAGTGAATTTGATAGGGGTCCTACATCGATTGGAGAAAGCAACGAGTGCTAGAGAGGATGTTGGA